GGGCTAGAAAATGGGTGAGTCTAAGGGATTTTCAATTTTGTTCATGTATTTTGTAGCAATATAGAAATATACCTGGCTAGAGAAACGTCACTTCCTGTTAAATAAGTGGGCGGAGTCAAAAAGGAGGCAGCAATGCTTGTTCTGGCACTTGGTTTCCTCCTCACGCTCCCACTACATGGCTCGCAACCCGTGTGGGGTTTGGTTGAGGCTGAGCAGCAGCTCGTGTTATGTGTGCTGTTCTGGCCTTCGTGGGGTGAAGGCCAAGCTTGCTGCTCTCCTCCTCCTCCCGTACGTGAGCCTGCATGTGTGTGTCATCAGGTGAACAGTTGAGTCCCAACTCATTGTCAGCTTCAAATTTAATACTGTTTGATAGTGATTAGTTGACTGAATTTTATAGGTCCTTTGCTGAAGTTGGGACTGCTGCTGTTTTTTCCCCACTGGGGTTACAACTGTTTATCTTTACGGAAGTGCGCCATTGTTCTGTCTCTATGGAGGATCACTGCTGTTTGGGTTCTCCAGATTATTGCACTTAATTGTCTCCAGATGCCTGTGGCTGCTTCACTGGACTTCTCCACAACTAATTGTTTGGGGCGCTGTGTCTGAGCACTCATGTCAGTGGTATAGGTAATTAGCTACACACCTGGGACTGAAATATAACTTTTAAAATGAGTATTTGATTTGTTAAAGTATTTAAAATGTATTTTAAAAGTATTTATAAAAATGGAAAATTAACAAATTGGTATCTAAATTTGCACGCCTGTCTCAGATGTCCCAAGTATTTGTAAGATCTACGAACTGGTGTGCCTTGTAAATAGTCTAATAATGAGCTCGACTCGGTACCACCACAGTTGATTAAAATGACTACTGCAAACACAAAGGCACCCAGTGGAACCATTAGGCCACTGCTGCTGTTTGTTGAAGCAGAAAAATCTTAACTTCACAGGTTTACTTAGTTCTGACTCTGGCCCATAACGTGCAAATCACTGCACCGATCAATTAAAATGTGTTAATATCCTCTGTTGTACAGATGTCAAATTAAATCTTAATACTCAAGTCAAGTCAAATTTATTTATAAAGCACATTTAAAAACAGCAGCTGTCACCAAAGTGCTTAACAATAAAAATCAATGGCAGTCATTTAAAGAAAATATAATACCAAAAATTAATTAAAAGCATTAAAAGAAAAACATAAAAACACAGAACAATAAAACACCTAATCAAATCACACTTTATTAAACGTCAATGAATACAGATGAGTTTTTAAAAGAGATTTAAAGGCAGGAAGTGAAAGGGCCTGTCTAATGTTGAGGGCAGATTGTTGCAGTTTATGACCCACGACTGATAAATCCCGATCTCCTCTGAGCTT